CTGTGGCCTATTCACCCATGTGGGTGCCTGTTGCTCAAGGCTGGTGGGTATAAAAATGTGTTTTTCTAGTATATTTGCCAGGACTGAGGAAAAACAACTGACGTAGCTGCAAAGGGCAAGTGCTGGTGAAGCATCTGTGGCTGCTCTGGCTCTGCCCGTGGCTGGACGGCGTGAGAAGGCCCCACAGGGCAAACAGTGACTGCCATGCGCGCGGTCTGCAGGCTGGCGAGTCTCAGCACGTCGTGCCCTTCGTGTGGGCAGCGGGAGGGCATTAGTTCCCTGCCGATTCCTCCCAGCGAGCACAGATGAGGAGGCTGAATTTATCTTTGCATGAATTCCATGTATGCTGAGACAAGACACAGTATTACCTGGAGAGGTGAGTGAGCACAGTGTAGGCCTGACATTATGTTGGTAGTTGCCATGCTTTTGAGCATAAGTATATATAGGTTCAGCCACATTTCCAGGAGAATTTGATAGTGAAGATCACATCCTGTTTGATTAGTTAGGATATTTAGCAGGAAAACTCATGTGTTAACTCACATTATTGCTTGAAGGAATTCAGAGGCATTGTTCAACTCCAATGTGACTTACTCCTTTAATTTTTTTTAATACTTGAAGCTAATTTCATGTCTAAAACCTTATTTATTTTAAATAGTATGTCAAAAAAGGCACTGCTTAGTACAACAGTAAATGTTTCAATACAACTGCACCTCCAAATTACAAGTGAGCTGATTTTCAAATGCACAGGAGCTTTGAGACCACATGATTGCAAGTTTAAAACATGTTTCCTTCTGTCTCAGTGATGGTCCCTTTCTTAAATTACTCATGCTGTGCTGCACAGACATGCTGATGGCTGGGTTGCACAAAAACAACAAAGTCTGAGATTTTAGATCTTTTGCCAGCTGAGATTCCAGGAAGATTTTTACAAGAGCATAACACATGAAAAGGTAGATACACAGAACAGTCACCCTGTACGTGATCATTGTTATTTTACTGCAGTTACACCCACACACCCCACCCCAGGTGGGGATTCCTGTGTGCTTGAGACTGGGAGTATAGAAAGACAGTTCCACACATGGGGCTGATGAGCTTAATATACTGTACAAACAGGAGAAGAGGAAATATTGTCAGTTTTGCTCACCACTGGGTAATCACACTAGGAAAATATCCTGTTTAGGGCTGTTATTAAGTGTTTACCTGTGTTTACCGGGTTTGCCTGTGTGACTAATCCTGTAAAAGCATGTGACTTGCACAATATCAGATCTGGCAGGAGATCCCCGACACATCTGGGAACTAAACTGTCATCTTTACAAGTTCCTGCCCAGTGCTTTTATTGCAGAAACGCAGGAGAGATGGATGTTATGTTCTCCAAAATTTCATGGTTGCAAACAGAAATTAGACTAAAACCATTCTCGCAAGAAGTATGTATTTGTTTCCTTGAGAATAACGAGACTCTCCACATATTATCAATATTGGTATGTTTATGACACACTGTGTAAAATTTCTAGTATTGTTTGATTACTTTTTATTTCTTTGGTGACCAGAATAATTTTGGTTAAGCAAAATACAGAGAAAAAAAAGTATAGGATCTTGTTCACTGGGAGATAAAATTATTGAGATCTATTTGTAGAACATACCCTTTAAACTCATCAGAGCAGTTTGTCTCCCTAAAGAACAAGGAGGAAGACCTGCTTCCTGGCTTTGTTTTCTGTGTGCTTTGGTACTTCTATAGTGACACTTTAAAGATTAGATTTCTTCCAGTTAATACCAGTTTAATGGCAGACAGTTCCAGGATTTGGCTGGGCAAGTGGAAAATACGCTCTACACGTGGTCTCTCTCATTAATCTTATATTACAGGAAAAGCACTAGAGTTCAAACATGACCACTGACAGGACAAGAATATTTTCTAGTTCACTGCAAGCATCATCTGTAGCAGCAAAGCCAGAGTAAGTAGAGAGTAATGATAAAGGAAACTGGCTCTGGGTCTAGAGACTCCAGTTTCACCTTCTTGTGTTCTGCGCCTTCAGAGCACAAGGAGCATCATAAAACTTCCATTTAATCACTTGTTAGGCAAAAAGGCCAGGGCTTTTCTCACTATACATTGGCAATGAGTAATGGAGGTGTTAGCCAACATACTAAATCTTAAAGCACATATGCATTGCCCCCTTCTCTCATTTTTTCTGAAGTCTGTTGATCTTCTTTCAAGCCAAGTGATGCATCCTGACGCATGAGGTACACTCTGCACTGTCTGCATAATCCCTCTAGCCTGGGGCAAGAGGGTGGAGTGTTTTTATGTGCCCAGCTACTAACTGCTGCAGAAATTTCTGAAGTCCTACCCACTTCTGCATGGCCTTAGGGCTGTGTTTTTGCTGGCTATGGAGGTTTGAATAATATTCACTTCTCAGAAATTGTTCTAACTTGTTTATAGCATGTAAATGTATCAAAAGAAGGGCCTTGTAGACTGCATTCATGGAGTAAAACCAGTTTAGGCTACATCAG